ACACACCTATCCCTCGGTGTATAACTATTACATACCTCTTGTTTATTAGAGGGGACTTAAGTGGGATTTCTTCTTAAAACAAAAGCAAAAATGGGATCAGTGAGTTAATACTCACAGGTGAATATGACGTCCTACTGATAATCTATCGGATTAAGTCGCAGAAGATTAATTAATAAAATACATGCAGTTATAACTAATCTATCTAAATAGAGATTAACGAGATAAATTCAAACACGCACTTGATAAACAAACGGGGAAAAACATTCGCTTTTCTTCATCTCAAAGTCACAGCGAGGCCATCTACACGAAACACGAGTAGTTCATGACGGAACTCTTTGCTTTATCAAATGGCTGTCTCTTATATTCTATCAACGGACGAAAACGAACAAGATTCTGAAATTTTATATTAGAAAAAAAAAAACAGTAACTGCAAACAAAAAATTAATTGAAACAAAAGCATTTATATTTTCTCCAGCTGCCAAGTAATTACCTTGGGGAAACGAATTTTAAATACAATCACATCAGCTATTAAAATGACCATTTGATGTTTTATTTTTAAGTTCAAATCAAGATGAAAGCAAAGAATATAGCAATTTTAATGGTTATTGCGACTGTACTTCATTGTGTTTTAAGCCAAGAAGAAGCGACGGGTCAAGGACCATCACAAGGACAAGCACATAATGCTACTGTAGCAGCTCAAAAAGCAGCAATGGTGGGTGCCATTAGACAACAACGTCTTAATCAAGTAGGAGGTGCAGGAGCCTTCCAAAGGCACAGGAGACCACAAGGTTAGAAGAATAGCGAAAATTAGAATACGTATAAAACATTTATAGAACCGTAGATAAATCTATGCAGATGAAATATTGCACTTTTTTTGGAATGATATGAAGCACACCGGTAAGGTAATCATCCGTTACGCCGTGTTACGCTTGTACAACTCGCTAAGCTATTGTATTTTGTATTTCATTTCATTAACATGCGTTCTAGTTTGAATTTTTCATGTCGGAGTCTTTTATTGCTGACTATACAGTATGGGTTTTTCTCATTGTTGAAGGCACTATGTTGACCTATAGTTGCTTGAATCTACGTCATTTTAACCCTAGTGGGTAGTTGTCTCATTGGCAACCGTACCTCATCTCCTTGTCTTTATATCTAAAAATACATAACACTTAACGATTGGCACACCATCAGTTTATACTTAAATCTTATAAACGCCAAGTTGACAAGAAGTGATTGTGTCCAATTTTCGAAATTTTATGCTTAGTCAGTTACGTTTTACAAACTCTTTACTTTTTCAAAATCAGATTTATGATAATACACTCGCATTCATTATGAAAACACATTATAGAAACTAAACAACTGTAATCTTGAAAACTCAAGAAAACCAACTTTGACAATGTATGTGCAACATACATGTACCTTTTTACAAATCACATATACTTTAACAAACCGCTATTTGATAAAACAATACACAATACTACATTGGGACATCTTTGTTACTTGTACATGCATCTTTCTAAGTGAACCGCCTCTATTGTCCCGTGGTAAGGTGCTCGGCTCAAGTGTGAAAGGTCATGGGTTAACATGTCGGGTCAAACCCAAAATTTGAAAATTGTAATTTGCTGCCACTCCAAGCAGCGTTTAAGAGTAAGTGCAAAGACTGGTCGGCTCGTAGTCAGAATAATGTGGCCGGTTTGAATGACATATCTTCCTGCGAACACTTTGCTAATTAGTAAGTTAAACATTCGTATTAGTGTGTTTAGTAAGTACAAAGCAGGGTTCATATTAAAAAACAGTAACATGCAATCGTCCTGACATGCATGTAATATTTGCCTTTGGAACTCAAACAACAGTTTAAAAGCGCAAATAGTATGTAGCACCAATCAACCAGACAACACGAACAGATGTGGAACAATATGACCTTATTATCACAACGTTACATTTTCAGTCCATTATAAAATCACTGCATTAGCTGTAAAATAATTTATCTATGAAAAACGTGAGAGAGTTTTTTTTTCAAAATAAAATATGTACATTCTGTATGTGCCAGTCCCAAGTCAGGAGCCTGTAATTCAGTGGTTGTCGTTTGTTGCTTTGTAAAATATTTGTGTTTCGTTCATTATTTTGTACATAAATTAGGCCGTTAGTTTTCTCGTTTGAATTGTTTTACATTTGTCATTTCGGGGTCTTTTATAGCTGACTATGCGGTATGGGCTTTGGTCATTGTTGAAGACCGTACGGTGACCTATAGTTGTTAATTTCTGTGTCATTTGGTCTTTTGTGGAGAGTTGTCTCATTGGCAATCATACCACCTCTTCTTCTTATATTTATTTCTTGATTGACAATTACTACTACATGTATTTAATTATAAACTACTATGCTAATCTACATTTTTTTTTGTATTATTGTTTAGGTAAGAGGCCTTTGAGTCCAACGATGAAAGCACTATTGATGTACCTGCTGATAGAAGGAGAACTGGAAGGGCCTGCATTGTTTATGGTACTCAAGATGCTGGGAAATTAACTTTTGTAAGAAAACCACAGTTCTTGAATTGTTGAAATACCTGATAACAGAAAAGGGGTTAAGAAAAGCGGCCGGCGATGAATTACAAACTAAGATAGAGGCGAATTATAATTTTGATGTATACAAGTTTTATATGCATAACTTTTAGAATATATATCATTTTACCACAAACAAAATACCTTATTGAGTGATTAAGTTTTGCGTCATATGACCTTCACAGTGAAATGGGAGGTTTATGAGCACGTAATTCTAGTTTTCCCTACCAAATTGTGGACCATTATAAAGTGGGGCTATCTGGACAGTGTGTTGTTCGTTGTTATTTGTCTTTTTTATATGTCGGTTATTTTGTAGGGGTTTGGAGTTGGTGGTTGATGTAGTGTGTTGTACTGACACTACTGTGTTGTTTTTTTTTTTGTGATTCCCGTTTTCTTTTTATGTATAATTATAGACATAATGAGGCATACGATTGTCAAGTTTGATGGTTTAAAATACTTCATCAATAAAAATATAATACACACAGTATGCACAAATATTATCCGTCCGTTTAAAGATAAACTGTTTTTTCATCGTTCTATTTCACATCCCGTTCGTGTGATTTAAAAAAAAAATACGGACGCCCATTAACAATTAACAATTAAGCTATCTTTAACAACCATTTGATGGATTGATGGATTGATTTCTTCTACAAGCGCATTGTAATATGTGGATATGCAATACATGCAATGCATTGCACTGTATATGTTATTTTGATTGCCGCCATACTAATTCGGTCGGTTGAATTTTTAGACATTCAATTTTTCCGTTGTGTCCAAATGATGACCACGGATGTGTCCCCAATTTCCTCCCCTTTCGTCGTTTATGATATATCTCCTAATGAGACTTGACATCCGATATAAGAATAAGAAGATTTGGTATGATTGCCAATGAGACAACTCTCCACAAGAGACCAAATGACATAGAAGTTAACAACTATAGGTCACCGTACGGCCTTCACCAATGAGCAAAACCCATACTGCATAGTCAGCTATAAAAAGTCCCGAAATGACAAATGTAAAACAATTTAAACGAGAAAACTAACGGCCTATTTATGTTAAAAACAATGAACGATGTTCACTTGAAATTAACAATACGATAGGCGCCATTAGTGGATTTGGAACTTCTGTCCTTTCCAGATCGAGCACCCGCGTTCACTTTTAACGTGTTTTGGGAGTTCTTGTTGCTTTTGATTTATTGCTTTTGATTTAGTTTTCTTTGTTGCATTAAGATAGTGGCTTTATCTATCATTTGTGCAGAAAAAAGTCTTTTCATTTCAAACTTGTACATGCGGTCATGGAAAAAAATAATAAAATAACGCTTGATAAATTTCATGCGTCCGAAGCGCTTTTCTTGATTTACCGTCACGAGGAACGCTCAAAACAGAATTAGAAAACAAGGATGTTTTTATTTGAAGCGTTAGATTATTTACATGTAACGTTGTTTAAAATAGTTAGTAATGTCTAAGGGTCAGACAACAGATATTTACCAAATAGCAACTGTATTGCGCCTTTATTTATTATTTGTTATCACACACAAGTTTTAACAATTATATCAGATTACCAGGGCAGGTGTCAATATTTGAGCAATGATTGCTGGCCCTTCTGGACTACCTACGTGAACGCTTTGGTTTTTGTGAGGTTCGTAGTTACATAAAGCGAACTCTAATTGAATAGTATAGAAATTTAATTCTAGAGTTTTCATGTTTTTACTACTAATCCGTTCGGTGACATGCATTTGCCTACTTCCACATCTTTTTTTCTCTGGTTGATCTCATTGTCATTCATACCGCGTCTTCTTATTTTTATTACTGATTAAATCCAGAGAACAAACATTTGGATGGTATGATGATACAGTTATAATTCTATGAACGCAATGCAGGATTAACTCTGTCCGTCATATGTATGGATGTACAAATGAGTAACGTCTTGACCAATGCTAGTGAAAGAAAGTGTAGATAAAATGTTTAATTGCCTTGTGAAATTTTCCTACGCTCGACAGGGCATGGTGATATCAGATGATGATGGTAACAGATGAATGTTTAACGTTCATTGACAAGTTAAAAACAAATCCAGAACGAGAACATGTTAATAGAATACAAATACGAGCACTGGTTTGTACTAGACCGACAAACTGAGCCGGATTTTTAACGTGCTAGTTCACAAGATAACCGCCCACAGGAAGCCATATCACCCTATCTAGACACATTATTCTGACAACGGACCAACCCATCTTTCCTCTTACTCCTAAATGCCGCGTTCTTAGATAAAAAGCATCAAATACCAATTTTGAAGTGTTAAGTTTGACCCAGTCGGTGACCAAACCAACGACGCTACCACAAAGCCAAATAGACTACTAAAAATTAAAAATAAAACGGTTGAACCTCATGCTCATTTATTCATGAGTCATTGTTGACTCAAAAAATTAACTAAAAAAACTACACAAAGATTAAACGAATTTAATATTGCACAAGAACATGTACATGTCAACACTAAACATCATATGATATAAAGTGACACAAAAAGTGATTTGTCCTATTTCAAACAAATAGGCAAAGTCCTAAAATACACCATTCTTATTTCATTATACAATAGAAACTTCTCATTTGTTAGCTTCTTTACTTGTTATTTCTTAAAAACATCTCGAAAGCAACATATGTAGTAAAACCGAAATCCAAAGCAAAATCAAAGTACATTAATTCATCGTTTTAAAATAAATATATGTATAGTGTTAAGTTTTCGTGAAATTTTGTATGTGCGTTTAAAAGTTTTAATAGTTAAAAAATTCCCAGTGCATTGTGTATAAATGTTGGAAACCGTACAGAATCCGTTGTGTTTTCAACACGGCTTTTAAGTACCATAATAAACAACCAGATACGCCGAAAACTAAGGCGAAAAAAATCCACTGAAATATTCCTGAGCTTAGACATGTTAGAATGGCCAACACTCTATAGATTTTGTCATAATTTATGAATTATTTAAATTAGATTTTTTCAATATAAAGAATATTGTTAAGGACGAGAAACTATATGTTAGATTTGAATTACATGTAATTCAAGATTAATTACTAAACAAAGTCAGATACAATCAAGTCCATCGTAGTAATGGATCGCTTCGTTTAATTATCAGACCACATGCCGTTGAAATCAGCTTTGAACAACTGAAACCGTCCTTAAACAACTCGGCCTAGTTCTCTTGTTAGATGATTTTGTTTTAATGAACAATGAATAAATATTAAAGATAACGAATAACGGGAAAATGCAAATAGACCGAACATTTCCATTACAAGTCATTGATGCCACACTTTACTGTGCCATTAGACTTCTCATCATCATGAACAGCATTGGTCCTTCCATTTCACCTGCCATAAGTTGTCTCATAAACATCATTTTCATTAATGGATTCATTTGTGGTCGACGTCTTTGTGAGGCTGAAATGAAACACGTGTAACATTGTTAATTTTATAAAATAATCTATATTATTCTAATAAACATATTTCAAGACGTTCATGTGTACAGCGAATTGTTTTTCTTTTTTATAGCTATAAATAAAACCATCTAAACCACAAAAACACATTAAAAAAACCTAAAACACCTTAAGTACTAACAAACAACTGTATTTACTGGATTGTATAAGAATTATTCTTTCTTTATACATCATATTGATGGCATTATATAATCTCTATTGCCAAATTATACTAATAGTTAGGTCTTGCTAATGTATTTGTAGGCACTGAAGTGATGTTAGGTTTGTGCTCGTGTTTAAAATACCAATTGTGTCATTACATACAGTCGACTTGACAATTTTTAATTTGTGCTTGCAACAGAATATATGCACACAGACTGATGATGATTATAAGCTATATTAAAAGGCAGTTGCAAGTTAAATGCATACTCAACAAATGAGACGAGAAAACTCTGCTTTTTACACGACCGATGCGCTGTTCGAAAGTTTATGATTAAACTTGGTCAAAGTCAATAATTTACGTAGCTATATATGTAAAGTAATGGGACGGTATTATCAAAAGAAATCAAGACCAGCCTTGCTTATGGATTAATTGATTGATTGTTCCTGGCTTATCATATGCACCAGAAAAAATATAAAAAACATAGTCCATGCCCAACATTGCTCGATATTCAAATCTCGCTTAAATCTCATCTTTCTTACCCATATTACGAGAAGCCATAGCTTTAAGCATCATCATTTGTGGATTTAATGAACCTGGTCCTGCTGCTGTGGCTTGTGCTGCTGCTCCGGCCCCCATTTGCCCCAATACACATTGCGATGTAATGGCAACAATCAAAACGATAATTAATTCTTTGCAAAGCATTTCGATAATCTGAAAAAAAATCGCATTCAGAATTAACATGAACAATAGTGGTGATTTAAAAAATCACATTCAGAATTAACACGAACAATAGTGGTGATTTAAAAAATCACATTCAGAATTAACATGAACAATAGTAGAGATTAAACATGTGCTAGAAGTAGGGTTGAGCATGCATATGTGTCTCATGAAATACCATGCGTTGTCACCCTCGATTTTAGGTGGGTGTTGTTCAGTCTTTATTTTTCTATGTTTAGTTTTGTGTACGGTTGTTCGATTTTCGTCCTTTTACGTATTTTGCCATGTTATTGTCAATTCGTTTTCTACTATTGATTTTGAAAGTCCCTTTGGTATCTACACGTCTCTCGTTTATCATTAGCATCTGATTTCTTTTCCTTTTCTAAATTTTGATACAAAAAAAAAAAAATAAGTCTCATTGGTCAAGCCAGTGCTTGTCACTGCGTCTTTACGAGGGTCTGGATGGAGGGTCTTCATATCTGTTATTTTTTATGCCATTTTTTCTCTAATCTTTATTTATTTCATTAAGTTTATAATTCTTGTCCTATTAAAATCAACCTATTTTGAGTTCGCATTTTTCTTCTGCTTTCACGAACTTCATTTTTGTACAAACAATCAATAAATTAGCTACATGCTGTAATCAGTTATGCATTCACACATTATCTACCATGTGCAAGAAAATTTGACAGAATTTCTTTTATCTTGTTTTTGAAATTATATCATACATAAAACATTTTTTTTATTTTTACTGTCAACGCACCTGTCAAATTTGTTTTATTAGACGTGTATTAGAATGCTTTTGAGATATTTAACTCTTCAATTCTTTTTTAGTATTTGCAAACCCAACAAAATAAATGTCTTACACTATTTTACATGATACGTAATAGCGAAATGGCCATAATATGTATACCTTTTTTTTAATCATTTTAATGGTAAAAATCGTTCTTTAACGTCAAACAAAGTTTTGATTTGGCTATTCAGAGCTTGTTACCAAAGATGTTGACAAAATTGGGAGGTTCATTTATACTTGAACTATGTATAGAGCTATATAAGTGAAATATCAGTTTAGTTTTGACATAGATAACACCATACAAGAGCGAACTTGATGCGTATGAAGGTGTTTTGTAAAAAAATCAGGGCCATAAAACCAACTGTCTGCTACAAAAAATGATGACAGAACAATGTAAGAACCCTATTTATACCGACCAGTTTTCTAAGAAGTATACTATTTAAACCTAAATGTGATTCTTTAGTTGCGTTTTCGAAAATATTTAAAGTTAACAACTGTGCTTCCGTGTATATGAAAGAGGTAATAAGAAACCATGGTACAACTACAAAACTACAACTACAATATGCAAATTTCATTTTATTATACTTCACGTTAAATTTTGATTGGTTAATGCTAGGGTGAGGGTGACAATTTACTCTATCACATGGCTCAGCGGGAGACAACTTTTTGAATGTTACCCTCTCGTGCAGACCAATCAAAAATCGGCAATTTAAAGGACAATGAATTGAGTTAAATCAATAATTTTAAGGGCAATGTTCTACGTTTCGGACTCAGACCTTTTTCAAAGACTGTCAACATAAAACAAAATTCATGTTGCTTCCCTTTGTGTTGTTTTTTTTTTTAAACATTAACGATATTAAGTACTCGACAATTACTATTAATTTACAATTTGATTCTTACTCATTACACATTTGTTACATTTTGAATTAAAGATTGATTAACATTTTTTTACATTGTTTAAGTTACTAAATCAATACCCATTCTCAAATTACTTTTAGAAACTGCATTTCTTTTTATAAAATACCAGAATGAATACAAAAGACAATAATGACAGAACATTCAGTATAATAGATTAAATAACACATCGAATTCTACTTCGCCTCGGTTGACAATATTTTCTCGGGGTAACAATCTGCTCTATCACTCTCTCAGCTATGTGTTATTTATATACTGTTACAAAACTTCCAGATCTTGAAATGGATTTTCAACACTGAAATAGCATACACATTACAAAGAGATGTGATTAGTTATTCCAATGTGATTTACCATACAGGTATCAAATGTCTGAAAATGTCTATTATCTATGATTGATTTGGCACAAATATGATGTCATATAACATATAATCCGAATACTATCGTCATTTGTGCAAAAAACAATAATAATATGTTATGATATTTCTTAATTATTTTTTTGCTGTTGTAGTTTTTATCATGACATTAATAACTATTAAGTTATGATTTCATTTTTGCACTTTATCACAAATCAAAACAATCATAATGTTCTTTTAAATACAGACATCCACATTTGACAGGAGTCATGGTAAAACCTGTCTCTTGCCGTAAGAAAAAACATAAACATAATTAACGCGCATTACATATATTATTAATGCAGTTTTGATTTCTTTTTCCGCCCTTAAAGGTAATATATAGACATACTTTTTCTGTGTAAAAAGATCTTTAGTGTCATCTTCACAAATTTGTCATCATGAAATCACTTTTAACTTTTGATTAATACAGAAGAAAAGGGAGCAGCGCGCTGATGGATAATAAATTAAAAATGAAACTTAACCACATGTCATCAACATTTTATGTTTTGGGCAAGGGACACCTAAATTGAAATTCTTTGCTCCTTTTAAATGGTATATCAACATCAGGAGATGTGGTATGATTGCTAATGAGACAACTATCCACCAGAGTCAAAATGAGGTGGATGATAGCAACTATAAGTCACCGTATTGCCTTCGATGAGCAATACCCATACCGTTTAGTCAGCTATAAAAGGAACAAACCGTTTAGTCAGCTTTCAAAGGAACCGACATGACAAAATGTAGAACTTTTCAAACGGGAAACCAATGACCCGATTTATGACAAAACTATGAACGAAAAACAAATATGACAAACAGCAACCACTGAATAATAGGCTCCTGAACTCTTCAACATAGTTTTGTGATTCATTCTTAAGTTAGTTTTTCTTGAAGATTCCTCATACTATCACATTGCGAATTAGAACAGAGGCTTGGCATTAAGGCCCTTGTATGAGAACTTCTTCAATCCAAAATATCATACTCAAATTGTGATACAGAATAAAGAAAATAAAACACATACATCGTCATTGTTTATTGCCATGGTAACTCTTAATTCTATGTTCTTAACACCATTTACCTAAGTAAAGACAGTTTAAATCAAAAACTTTTAATTAAGAACTTATATTCAAATTTAAAGCCAAATTTGGACCTGTTTGCCCTTCTTCTCTAAATATACTGCCCATAACAAGATATTACAGTTGGGTTCAGAAACTCGAATTTAAGTCCGGTATGATTTTAGTTGTTGATATGTTCTGAATATACTTTCAGTGCGCATAACATAAAACTCTAAGGAAATTATAATGTCGCTGTAAATAATTTTCGAGGTAAATCAATAGACTGATTGTTGCTTGCTTGCTTAAGGGATGTTTGATTCTCTGTTTCAAAATAACAAGCGTTTTAAAAGACTGTTATAAATTGTATTTTTCATACATTTAACATTGGCACCTTTTTTCCTTTCAATAACTATGAAAAAATAACAAAGATTTTATAAGATTCTTACAAAAATGGCTTTTTAAACTATATGTAATAAAACTATGAAAAGAAAAAGTACGGGTTAGTGGGCAAAACATTTGAATGTCACCACATGGATAAAACCAGAAGACTCTGAATATCTGACAAAAAATCAAAAACAAGAGAAGCAAGCATCATTAAATCGCATAAAGTTTGCTATGAAAATCAAACATAAGGATGCAACTGGACCAAATCTAATTACACGTATAAACACACCTTAATGATAAACGGATGACTGTTTGGAAAAAAATAAATATGGCGTAAATGCATCATATAGCATATTATATAAGAAGATGTGGTATGAGTGCATATGAGAAAACTCTCCATCCAAGTCACAATTTGTACAAGTAAACCATTATAGGTCAAAGTACGGCATTCAACACGGAGCTTTGGCTCACACCAAACAGCAAGCTATAAAGGGCCCCAAATATGACTAGTGTAAAACAATTAAAATGACACTGAATCCCGACAATCCATCGACAAAACAAAAAGCATAGTAACCGTGATTTTATTGTCGTTCTTCATTTGAAAGTCACAGTGTGCTTAACTATTATACCCACATATATTTTGATTTTGTAATGTTCATCATACTCGTATCTATACCTCATAGATCGGGTTTAATAATTAACAGTTCGTATTCACATAAAATAATTATAGCAAGAAAATCTCAAATATTCAATATTTATATATTACGATTTACATTACTATTTTATTGTTTTGTTAGGAATTAACGGTTGTATTCCAAAGCTGGACAATTAAACCGTACTAAGTCAAAAAGAGTTTAAGGATTTATTCCATTATGGAAAAGATGTCAGACCTTTTACTCTTCAAACATACAATGTAATGCATTTTTTTTATATGGTAAAATGACATAATAAATGTTGACATTTTTGTAAATTTTATTAACAAACTTCTTATCAAATCAACAAAAACTATGAAATAAAAACGTGATAAGCCATTAGGCGATAAACATGAAAAATATAACCATGTATCGATGTCTAAATAAATAATTGTCATCAAAATTAAAATGCTTTTGTTGTTATATTTATATTAAGTGTCAAACGTGTGTTATAAAATGATGTTTTGATCATGCATGATCTTCCCCATCGGTACTGTCAAATTGAATAACGATGTTGTGTGCTGTAAACAATACATGCTTTACTATCATGTCAGGTGTCCTACAGTAAGCTTTATAATGACGTAAAGCTTATTAACTATTTTTCAGATTTTTTTTTCAGTTTCCCCTAAAGCAAAATTGACCATTGATGGATTTGGCTGTTCTCTTATATATATTTTATTGTGTATATTAATGGTGAGACGTTAATAAACTATCTATCTTTCTATCTCTCTCTCTTTAGATCCTTTTTGGTCACAAAGCTCCTCACATTTTCAAGTACTAGTACTTAGATATAAGAAGATGTGGTATGAGTGCCAATGAGACTACTCTCCATCCAAGTCAGAATTTATAAAAGTAAACCATTATAGGTCAAAGTACGGTCTTCGACACGGAGCCTTGGCTCACACCGAACAGCAATCTATAAAGGGCCCCAAAAATTACTAGTGTAAAACCATTAAAATGGGAACGACTTTCAAATGTTTGACTTTGAGTGTTTCTGATGAAGTTAAATCCAGAAAATCGCTTTTGACGCAACACATTTATAAAGTGTTATTCATGTTTTTAGTGACAGCCATTCACTTCTAATCCACTTTTATAAGATTAATTATATTATAAGATTAACTATATTTATAAGATTTATTGTATTTATAAGATTAATTTCATTTATAAGATTAATAATATGTATAGAAGGAAACATCATTATCACGAGATAAATAATGAGATGTGGCATGATTGCTAATGAGACAGCTATCCATCAGAGTTCAAATGACGTGGATAAGAGCAACTATAGGTCACTGTACGGACTGCAACAATGAACAAAATTCCGTAAAAATCGCATATTAAAGCCTCCGACATGACAAAATAACCAGTTATATAAACAGTTCAAACGAAAAAAACCAACGGGCTGATTTTTGACAAACAATAAACTAAAAACAAATATAACAGATAGCAGCAAACGGCAACCACTGAATTCCAGGCTCCTGACTTGGTACAGGAACATAAAGGATGTAAACATGTTTGAAAGTCCCTAGCTATGAACAATGGTGTAACAGCACAAAATAAGGACAAAATAAAAAAAAATAATTGGAAATATTTGTTCTGGTATAAATTTTGTTAAATATCTAATGACCTAATGTTCTAAATATTCGAGCTACGATTACCAGATAGCATGACTGGATCAAAACCACAGGCGGTGAAGGTCGAAAAGGGACAAACTAATTTTCGGAATTAAATTCTTAATTCGGCTTCATCTGAAACTGAGAAAACACAAAAGTTTGACAAAATGATAACTTTTGAGTTCCCATTGATCAGATAAGAGTTAACACATCTCTGCCAAATATCTTAGCTGTATTTGCAAAGCTAGTATTAGCCTAAGAGGAAGTAATTCTGAAGAGTTCCTTGAATACATGCATGTCAATTCTTGTGTTTTGCAGAGGAAAAGTTATATGAATAAATGATAACTGACACAAACAGACTTGAATTGAATTGCATTTAAAAAGAAACAGTCCTTTAACTAATGGTAAAAGGTAAAATAACAAAAATACCGAACTCCAAGGAAAATTCAAAACGGAAAGTCCCTTATCAAATGGCAAAATCAAAAGCTCAAACACATCAAACGAATGGAAAAGTACCAGCTAATCAATGTTAAGAAGATTCACCACTGAGTTTCCAGTAAGCTCTTATCACAATTCAGCATATGTTTAACTAATCAAAGTGCTAGGACAGATGTGCCCTGTATTTGTTTCACTCACAAGCAAAAAATCAGAAAGTTATTAAAATCTTCTTTGTATTCAACTCAATGTAGAAATAATGATAGTTTCTGTTATGGTATTACATAGTCTTACTATGGTATTACATAGTCTTACTATGGTATTACATAGTCTTACTATGGTATTACATAGTCTATGTAATATCATAACAGAAACTATCACCATTTCTACATATTTCAGTTTAATTAAAATAACATTATCATAACATATTGCTATTGAAGACCGTCAATATTGCAAATATTGTCTGGTTTCATAAAAGTACGTCTCTAAACAAAAGGAATTAATTTGTATTTATATAGACGGACACTAATAATTAAACGCTAATAGCTAAACGTCCCACATAATTTAATTTTGTTTAAGAACCATTTTTGAAATACCCCAAATTTACCCAAATCCGTCAAAAAGTGCAGTTTGAGCCAGCTCTATGCATTTATAATGTGGTCACATGTTCGAAAATACACCGAAATATCAGAATATCCTATTGAAACTATGATAAGGGAATTTTGGCAAAGATCGGAAAACTTTTCAGAAAATGGATCTCGTTTAAACTACAATTTCAAGAGAAATTGGCCATACCTCAAATTTACACAACCATTTTTAATTGAAATATCGCCAGATGTTAATATATTTGATATTTTTTTTTATACTACATCAAATCTACAATATGGGCAAGAACATTCATTGGTAACGATACGAAGAAACAATTTTACGAGAGACCAGTAAAATCGGAAGTGTAGCAACTTCTGATACAACTAATAGCCAACCGCCAAGTTGTTATAATACATCCAAAATCACTATTAGATTGAAAGACGGGATGACAAAAATTACAAATACGTGCATAAAATTGGAATAAATTAAAGAGTTTAGTGATTCTATTTGATAATTTGCAAATACTTCAAGTACGTTTGAACATTATGTTATATGCAAATTAAAGCACCAGTGAAAAAGTAGTTTTTGGCTGAAAAATTTTAGTTGCGGACGGTTTTGCAAATGGAAAAGCAAAGACATTTTGGTCCTACATTAAAATTAAATTGAGATGGTAAGGGCAATAGTACCAAAATGACACCCCATCTTAACAAATGAGCTCAATAACGTGTTACAGTGTATTCCGAGAGTGCCATATGGAACTCTTTCCATAATTTGAACTAAAATAGAAAGCTTGAACGGGACAATTACATACTTAATTGAAGATCAAAGAATTGAATATATTTTCTTTTGATATTGGGAAAAAAGGATGGAAATTATGAATAAGCTAAGAGGTCTTAAATGCTCAGTACCTTTCAAAATTTGAAAAAAATATAATCATATTTTTTTGCACTGAAAAACAAAATATGCCGATACTTTCTATTGAAATAAAAAAAATCTATAACTCTCACTCATATATATATATATATATATATATATATATATATATATATATATATATATATATATAAATGTAACAAACTGATGTTCGATTTGGCAATTTCATTTTTGCATGATAATTTAAAAAAATTTATTCAATTTAAGATTAATTATTTCATCTGATTTCCTTGTACTTGTAAAACAGTACAATACCATTAATATAAAACCCTATTCTGTTTTTCTAATATTGAGAATAGAACTTTCTCTTACCTTTTACTCTGACGCAACTACTTGTACAGGTGAAATGACAATACTGTTGTGAAAATAACTGTGCAAGAAAATTGTGTTCCACTTAAATAAACATCAAGATTACGTGAAAAGCTTCATCATTTTCTTACCCTGAAGGCCCAATATGATTTACTGGACATAAACTTATTAGAAAAATGCACGTGTATATATTACTTATTTTGAATTAATTTATTGTGTTGCTACGACAATCACGATATGTTGCATCCGTAGTAAACAATAGAACACGACATTAGTCCAATTTAGTGACCCAACCCAAACGATTTGACCTGTAAACAATAGAACACGAATTTAGTCCAATTTATTGACACAATACAAACGATTTGCCCTGTATTCTAGGTAATTTTTCAAAAATGGGTTAAATATTAAAGAGATAAGATGTAGGGTAGATAACTATTACAGAGCAACCTACCGATACAAATAGACTCTTTTACGCACGTACTCTTCATTGAATTACTCAATTTGAGCCACAAAAGTAAAATTAAAAAGAAAAGAAAAGATTCTCAATAACTTATATATTTAATTTGCAAAAAGGTTTCTTTAGTATAAGTTTATGTTTTTTGGAATTTTTACTGGTTAATCAAAATTGATTTTAAATGCAGAATTCCACCAAAACACAACAAAATTACATACTAGTATAAAATGAAATCTTATCTATGGGAGGTAATTAAATCGGCACACTTTAATACATTTGTTACTGTACACGATATGAAAAGGCATAATACATATTTCTGTGGGCGCACGGAATGTGATTCTTGAATAGCTGTCATCGGATATATTCCGGTACTATGGAGACTAAACGTTCGGAAAGGCTGAAATATAAAACGTTTGGGAGCAAAAGACACATACAAAACAAAAACAAAAACGGAACCCCCAATTTAATCCTAAAAAAATGTTGCATTTCAATGTTGCCCGAGACTGAGCAATGACAATCTGAATTGGGCCATTAGAGTTTTGCAGACAGGAAAACGTCAACGTGCAGTTGTAAGACCATGTCAGAATTTCCTTTTACAATCCTTACAACAACGGTACAGACAGACGAAATTTGTTAATGACCACCCATGACTAGATCAACCTATAGTGACAACGCCACGTCAATATAATGTCATTACATATTAGCGACCGCAACGTCATCTGCTAACCAAAGTTTTCAGATATCATGACAGACAATATATTCACCCCATAATGTTTCCAATATACTGAAATGCCGTAGAATCGACTGCAGAAAAACAATTTAAGGCTAACAGTTTAGACCGCAAAATTGCCAAAAACAGACCGTAATGGTTATAACAGAGGCCAAATCCGGGGATAGAACATAACTCAAATCATTCTAAAACGAACTGTTTTACTTTTCTGTTAATCATTTAATTAGGAGTTGATTACAAACAGTCTTCTACGGTGACGGTGACACATTGATTGATAAGGAGAAAATCAGGGTTTCAGTGCATATCACATGATTTTAACATCAAACACGACGTAATCAATTAACTTTCGTAATGCAAATTTGATTAAGACAATGAAGTAATGAAAGACATTTATGTTAATATTTTTATTTTACAATTATTGCATATTTGAAAATTAGAATTAAAAAGAATAATCTACCGTCAGTATATATTTTTTTTAATTTTCTCATCACCATGTGACCGGAACTGTCTTATATTTCACTTCTTTTTAAGATTTAATGTATTTTAAAAATGGAAATCACATTATATTTAGTATGGCATTAACATATTCAAGTTAGCTTTAGGTAAACTTTGTAAATTATGAACAATTATGGGACGTGCTATCTTGGATGTGTTGGTTTCTTGATAAGCCGGTATTTGTTTGCATCTGTCCTAAGTCAAGAATCTGATGTTCAGTAGTTGTCGTTTGTTGATGTGGTTGAAGTGTTACTCGATTCTCGTTTTTTATATAAATTAGACCGTTGGTTTTCCCGTTTGAATGGTTTTACACTAGTCATTTTTGGAGCCCTTTATAGCTTGCTGTTCGGTGTAAGCCAAGGCTCCGTGTTGAAGACCGTACTTTGACCTATAATGGTTTACTTTTATAAATTTTGACTTGGATGGAGAGTTGTCTCATTGGCACTCATACCACATCTTCTTATATCTATATACATTTCATTGATTTGAAACATCAATTCATTACTAAACTTTGTATAATATTTACTTGAAAACGTTGCTTTCTCAAATTATTTTATATTATTCTTAAATGTAGATTAAAGAAAATTTCTACAATTATTGGCTTATTAATAAATGAAATAATCATCGATGTTGCCCCGGGGGTAACATTTGTACAAACGTATACCATGTATACAACACAGGAGAGATAGTTAAATCGGCTGATATTGTATTTCCATTAAATTTTTAACTACGTTAATATTATAGCAAGAAACACCATAAAATATGTCCCCCATCCTTTTTTGTTCACGAAAGAAATTGACAGAAATAAAATACTCACAAAGTTAACAGTTCTACCAATTAGGTGTTTTTTTTATTCGCCAAAGAATGGTTATCATGAATCCTAAGAAAATTATTAAAATTTGAAAAATAAATTTAAAAAAAATTGAAATTTTGAATGGACATACGTGATTCTCTCAAATGAAAATTCAAGAAAAACTATCGTATATTTATTCACTGTCTATTCATCTTAAGACGACTACAACCCCTCTCTCTTTTAAAACGTTCCACTAATGCTGTCATGCATTACATGTTTAATATATCCAAAACGCCTTTTCTCAACTAGATTATTTAATGTGTTAATACAATAGAGTATTGATGTCAATATGTTTTAACATCAGTTCACATGTACTTGATTGAAATATGAATCAATGTCTGTCAGCAAATACATTTTTTTTAACCCGAAGCAATGCAATTATGGACTGGACATTTTGGATGTATGACAAATAAGTATGAATAAGGAGCACGAAGATTAATTTGAAGTTTTATATGAGGAAATAAATGGTGAACACGATGTAATGTCCAACTTAATGATCGTGTCCACGAATTCATCATCCTTAAGGCTTTGATAAAACACCTAGGGTTGAATAAAAAACATAGACAGGTGTGTAAAGCTAACATTTGTAATACTACATGTTGTAATGTAATTACAAGATCACATTAAGTGTGTTATTGACTTCAAAATTAGATGAAAAAAAAATAAAAACAATAAATGTATTTATGTGCGGTATGAGGTATGAGTTTGAAAGATTTCGCGTTGATTTTATAAAGGGGAGTCAAAAGGTTGTGTTGTTGTCATTCTGTTTGGCGGTCCGTTCATAAGGTAACTGTACGAGTTTTAAGTTATCGATGATTTTGTAGTGACCAAACCGATTTAACATAGTAATAGTTAGAAGTTTAATTTTTCTTTTACAAAAATATTTTTATATTTTTGTTTTCATATTGTTTAAGTACCTTGAAAGTGTTTTTTGTAGATCGGTTTGTTACAGAACACTTGCAGGATTATGCCAAGCAGTTTCTTTTGATGGGCCTGATGGGGAGGGGGGGGGGGGGGGGGGGGGGGGTCTCATCACGATTCACGAGTTGATTTTTTTGTCAATCACGATTCACAGAAAATAAATTTCCATGATCACGGATCACGAAAATGTAAAAAAAAAAAAAAATCTGTAGAAAAACGGATCACGATAGCGAAAATGCGCCGATCATGAAGAACGAAAATAACCCATCAGGCCCTTCCCTTTTGTGTTGATAGGAACTTTTATATTCTAGTTTGGATTTTGAGGCAGGCGATATATTTTGTATTAGAAAACAATAGTTTTAGCTGGTCACTGCCTTCAGTACCCAAACATTGTGTTTGTGTTTCATTGTTTTTAGTAAGGAAAGAAGTGTACATAATCACTGTGTATCATTACCACCGGATATAGGTACCCTTGGCCTGGTTCTCTGTTCATTGTCAAAACTACATTGCTGTACATATATCAGCATAGAGGTACCCAGTACGCTTGTATTTGTACAGTAATGTTGTTTTTCTTAGACAATGAACAGAGAACAAGGCCAAGGGTACCTTTATCCGGTGGTGATGATACACAGTGATAATTACATGTGTTCAATTATGTTCACATGGTTTCAAAGTAGCTGGAGCATTTAATGGCATAAATATTTGATGTTTGTTTAAACAACGTGAATTAAAACATAACATCATCTTACTGACGTTGTATATGATAAACTGTTGAAGTTAGTGTTAAAAGTATCACTGCATACAACATATAATTAACAAATTAATCTATTACATTTTGTTACATCTTTAAATGAATAGTCACTGACATTATTTTATTTGACAATTGCTTCACAATGTATCCTTGTCTCTTGAATGTAAACACGGTTTTATAAATCACAATTAGGCCCAGTTTAGGCAGTTTACTATTTCAAATTACTAAAAGTATTATTGAATATTTTCGAACATTTAAATAAATCGATATCGTCTCAAACCCCCCCCCCCCCCCCCCCCCCCCCAAAAAAAAAAAGAAGAAAAAGAAAGAAAAAGAAAATGAAAAGAAAAGAAGAAGAAGAAGAACACAGAAAATGAACAAAAACTGGTATTTTTTTATATTTGAACGAATTGTAAGTATGCATATGAAAAATGACTAAGAGGGCCAAAATGACAATTTGTGAAATAAATCCGATAATATAACTCCTTTGACGTCATACAATTAAAAAAAAATAACAATGAGTGATGTCAAGACTTTGTCGATTCCGTCGACAACGGAGATGCATTTCGCTATATTTTCACATGTTCTGTACTTTTTGATTATCGTAAACAATAACGAGAAGTACATATAGAAACCGACCAAACTAAGAAATACAGTACATGTATGTACTGATGCATTATATAATACTATATATTTGTGTGTATCCCCATAGCGATGTAGTCTGGCATGTTTGGTATGTTGAGAAGTAAAGATCTGTAAAACAAAAACCATACTTCTGTCGTAATTAAAACAATGCAATCTCAATCAGATACAAATCTATTCAGTCCTTCGATACAAAATTTTACAAAACTAATAAAATTGCAATGTTTCATAAAATTTGTCTTAAAAATCAATGGATCA